ATATAATGAACCTAATTATAAATAATTATAATCTTCGCTATAAAAGTGACCTTGGTTATAAGGAATTTCTGGTTATAGAGAATATTTTCTCTGGTCCCGTCGAATTCGTTATAACCAGGTTTGACTGTATGTAATAATAGATATCATAAATAATAAAATAAATGCAATATTAATAGTAGTACTAATGAAATAGACAATGTTAATATGAAAATAGTATTAGTATTGAACAATTATTGCAACTAGCTTGTATGATTATTGTAACAAGGTTGCATTAACCATGCTGATATAATTGACACAACCTTGCAGAAAGCTTGGCAAATTACCAAGGTTGTGAGAACATTGCAGGAAAGCTTTTAGCAAGATTAGTACAATATTATCCAAATGTTGTATCAATAATGCTGACAAAATTGATATAACACTTGTGTCATTGTTAAGCTTGTAACAACCTCGCTACAATTAATTTTAGCGAGGTTGTGAGAACATTGTGAAAAAGCTTTTAATAAGATTAGTGCAATATTTATCCAAATGTTGTATCAATAATGCTGACAAGATTGATATAACCTTGTGTCATTGTTAAGCTTGTAACAACCTCGCTACAATTAATTTTAGCGAGATTGTGAGAACATTGTGAAAAAGCTTTTAACAAGATTAGTACACTATTTATCCAGATGTTGTACCAATGATAATGATGCCAACAAGATTAATACAACCTTGTGGCTATTTTTAAGCTTGTAACAACCTCGTTACAATTAATTTTAGCGAGGTTGTGGAAAAGCTTTTAACAAAATTAGTACAATATACATTCAAGGTTTATACAAGGTTATGAGAATTTAATGAGTTTCAGCTAAGAGTAGTTGTCAAATGCTATCTTTACCCTGTATTATCACGTCTCAAGAAAGAGAGTAAATACTCTAGTAATGTATTACCTACTGGAGATTTGCTGAAACCAAGAAACAGTTATAATTTTAATTCAGTTGCAGGTATGACTGGCAGCAAATGGCTGTGTCTTAATATTCCTTTATTTCAAATAATAAACTGTCCTTTATATTTAGAATAGCTCTTGTATTCTAATAAAACTCTGACTGGTGATTTAATATCATACATTGTCAGTTAAAATCCTGTGATTCATTATTGAATACAGCCCGAATCTGAAAGTTTGAAAACCGCTTTCCGGACTCTCTATTTTGAACTCAGTCTTGGCTAATCATAATATTATATGATCTGAGTCACCCGATCCTGTTAATTAATTTGTATATCAAAAGCTTTTTTTTTTTTACAATTTATATACGTTTTCTTTTTCAGAATAGAGCAGAGTTTCGGTGTCTTCAATCAGGGACAATGGCACGTACAAGAGCCTATGATAATATGTTTTCATGTGTCAAGTAAGACATTCTCTCTTACAAACATGACTTAACCTAAGGGTTAGGGTACCATCACAAGAGTAAGGAGCATGATTTGGATCCAAACCAACAATAAATATATGCCCACCTTTTCCTGGCTCATCATTTCAATATGAATTTAATAACAAAATAAAAATAAAAAACTTACAGCATTCAGGTTGCTAATCAACTTCTGTTCGTTTCCAAGATTTTCAACCCATTCAGCCTGATCCCTATCTGTACTTTGTCCGAAATTTCAGGATGATTTTAACATTAAATTCCCCATCTATAATTTTCTAAAATCAATTTCAGGAAGGGCGTAGGGTGCCTTTGCCCATTGAATGGCGGCTGTTATTTCAGAGTCATATTAGTATATGGTACCATGTAATGACTCCCAGTCAGTTCATAGCATTTCACTCTAAAACGCTTTACCAAATTTGATTTGTCCGCATATGTTGATGAGAATGATCTTTCTACAGCACTTATACCTCGAGGTGGAGCATTAACCAGTGTCAATGCTTTTACTGAAAATACATTAAAAAGTGTGTGAACCATGCTCTGTTAGTGTCATTGCCGTATGTTGACAATCTTTCCCATATAAAATAAATGATAGCAGAAAACTCACCTGATAATTTTCAACAAAGGCATATGGAAACACAGAAAAAAGAAACGAGTTCAAGTTAGTCAACATTGCAAATAATACATAGTACTATATGAATGGCAGGGATGTTAAACAGTCCAGTCCATCCGGTCCTAAATCCTGGACTACTAGTCTTCATGAGGACTGGACC